CCTCTGCAACTACCTGCCGGACTCTCCCTGAGAATCCACAGTCTCTTTAGGTGGGGATATGGGATTCCCAGAGGGGCCAGGATTCTGTTGCAGGGGACCTGGTGGTTCTCTCGTGATCATCAGTCCCAAAGCTCAGCCGATTCTCCCTGGGAGAAAGAGGTCTGAATATGCAGACGTAAGCTAACCCACTCGTTCATCAGTTTCTCCAGCATGCTGTCTACTGCCTGGGCCTCACCTTGACGGAGCCTTACTGTGTGTGTATTACCTATAGAGTAAAGGAGGGGCCCTCTGGGGGTCTTCCCCAGCCTGGCCCTTTGCAGCCCCATTTAACCTCCCTCAGGTGATCTGACATCTTCCAGGTGCTTGGTCTGCAGGGCCAGTGGATGGCGTCCCTATGCTGGAACTGGAGGAGGGGCGGTCAGGTGTTCCCATGCACTGCCATCCCAGGGGCTGGCTCCTCTGCCCCCAGCACTAATCTAATCAGGAAATAGCGGAGTCTACATTTCCCAGGGGTTATAAATAGCCACAGCAATCCAGGCAGCATCATTTCTCTGGAAAATGTGCCATGTCCCTTTCCACCCTCCCTTCTCTGTATTTAAATGACATCCTGAAATAGACTTGGTTTCTGGAGGCTGCTGGCCTCCTGCAAGACAGTTTCATTGTTGGAGTGCTAAGGAGCTAGGCAGGCCTCTCTGAGTGGATACCAGGGTGCACCTGTAGAGGGGATCAGGCATATGACAGTGGTGGAAACTCGCAGTAAAACTCGAAAGGACCACCTTATCCAGACCTGGCCTCTGACAGGCTAGTGTGTATGAAACAACAGGAAATGGTACTGGCAGGCTGAAGAGGGACAGGGTCTTATGGGCAGAAGGGAACTGAAGATTGCTGAGGCCTGGGGTTTTCCAGGGAGGCTTTCTGGAAGAAGAAGGGCCAGCACTGGGCCTTCGCATCAGGAGTTGCTTGTCCCGTCTCAGATGCTTCCAGGGAAATGTGGGGCTGCTACTTAGCTAGAACAGAGCAGCGTGGAGGGAAGGAACAGAAGGATTGTACTGGTGGTGGTCCGCCAGCACCCGCGTCTTCCCGTGGTGCCAGACCATGTGCCGGGAGCCCTGATGTCTCCTTTCTAAATAAATAATGGTAATAGCAGCTTCCATTGTTGCCAAGACTCCAGGCCAGGTTTTTTACATGTTATCTTGCAGGTTTGGCCGAGCAGGTGAGTCAGGGAGACTTGATTTTTGTTTTCCAGCGCTCACTTTCTAGATGTGTGGCACTGGGCAAGTTCTTTGTTCTCTTTAAGCCTCAGCGTCCTCATCTGTGAAATAGGAATAGCTATAAAAGCTTAAACCTCACAGGCTTGTTATGATGATTAAATGAGATGCTGTATATAAAGGGTGTGTAATAGTGGCAGACTTAGAGGAGATGTAAATGACAATATGTCATTTACAGCGACCCTCTGAAGAAAGGAAACTGAGGTTCAGGGAGGTTAAGTGATGTGCCCCAGTTCACACAGTTGAATGGAACATTTGGACCCAGGTTGATTTCATTCTCAATCCCCACACTTTCCTCACTCAGGCTGTGTCCAGATGCCACTCCAGGACCCAGGGAGGGACCACTGGCTCAGTCCATGGCAGATGCCGGGAGGGTCCAGGTCAGAGGAGGCTGGGGCAGGGGAACGGCATTAGGTGAATCTGGCCAGGTGCCAGGACCATGGAATTGGCCTGAGATTCATGCTGATGCCTGGAGAGACGTGCGTTAAAAGGGGTAGTCACGGGAGGGAAATTGGGGGGCTGGTCGAAAACGGTGAAGGGATGGAGAAGTACAAAGAGGTAGTTATGAAATAGTAGACAGAGCAAGCAACTCCTGATGCTAAGGCCCAGTGCTAGCCCTTCTTCCAGAAAGCCTCCCTGGATAACCCCAGTGGGATGTGAAGTACAGCACAGGGAATATAGTAATAACTATGTGTGGTGCCATGTAGGTACTAGACTAATCAGAGGGATCGCTTTGTAAATTACATAAATGTCTAATTACTATATTGTATACTTGAAACTAATATAAAATTATATCGACTATCTACTGTACCTGAAAAACAAAAAGTACTTATGAGAACACTATGGAAAAGAAAAAGTGAGGGTGTTTACTCCAGAATGTGTGTCCCAAGGGTAGCATCTGCCTTTGTTGACATAGAGCAGTTGAGATCTCCCTACTACAGGTGGCCACTGCTGGAGGACGGGGCTGGGGGCAGACCCAGGGCCTGTGTCCAAGACCCAGCATTCTCGATGGAATTAAGGCCTGGCGAGGGATTGGGACAAAAAGAAGTTTAGAGGAGAGGAAAGCTGCAGGAAAGTAAGACCAAAGTTGGTGCTTCCTTTGGGGACCCAAGCCTTCTGGAATAGAGAGCACAGCAGCAGCCAGGCTTGGGAGTCCCACAGCTTAGGGAAGGTGTTTGAGATACTGGGTGAGGGGTGCTCCATCCTCTCTCCACTGCTCTCCTTCTGTTCTCGATTCTGTTCCTTCTCTGGGCAGAGAACTGACTGCTGATGACTGGGCCTAGGCCAGAGCTGGCTCAGATGTAGATCCCAGACCCCATCAGACACTTGGGTGCCACTCGTCCCCAGCTGGTACTTGTGTGATAGAAGGTGTGAGAAGGAATTACCTTAAGCTGTAAGGAAGCCCCAGGGCTCAGCCTACCCTGAGCTGACCCAGATCCAGTTTTCCTCTGTGACGAGGGGCCTGTTCGGAGCATGCAGATCCTGAACTGCCATAGGTTCTATTGCCAACAAAGGACCTTCCTGTGAAGGGCCTTTCCCCGTCACCTGTCTGCAAAGGAGCAGGAGACTCAACTGGGGAACTTGGCCCAGGGCTCTGAGACCTGGGTGGCCAACAAAGGAGCCGATGAAAATATTGGTGTAGGTGTTGAGAGACTAAAAGACACAGAATGGCAGGGTCACAAATCCTTTCACAAGTCAGGTGATTTCCCGTTGTTTTCCACACAACTGATGGAAATTGTCAGCTGAGAAATCATTTAAAATAAATTTTTGATAATATGCATATATGCAATTTAAGGCCAATAATGAGGAAAGAAGTTAAAAATTATGTAACATTGCTATAATAAAACTATTTTCAGCCCCACCTACTTATTTATGTGAACAAGATGTTTCATTTGTTACTGCCATTTGCGACGACGTGGATGGATTTTGAGATAATCATGCTAAGCGAAATAAGCCAGACAGAAAAAGTTGAAAACCACGTGATATCACTTATATGTGGGATATAAATCTAAGAGCAACAAACAAACATGACGTAGACTCATGGACATGGACAGTAGACTAGTATTTACCAGAGGGGAGGGAGGGAGGGGGGAGGTAGATGGAGTAAAAAGGATCAAATATATGATGACAGAAGGAAATCTAACTATGGGCAGTGAACACACAACGCAATATATATATGACTTACTGTTGAATTTTGTATTTGAAACTTATTGGATTTCATTAATGTCACTATCAATAAATAAGTAAAAGATGTTTCATTCTTTACATCTTTAAAAACAAAACTCAAAAAATACAAACAATTGATGCTGAATCCTGTTTCACCCTAGTAAAAAATAACATTCATATACATACATGAACTAAGACAAAAAAATGCTCTACCCATCTCATTACGAGATGTAATTCCACCTAAATGGTACTTTCGTGCAGAATATTTATTAAAATTTATAATATGTTGGGTAATTTTCTTTATTGTATACTGCTAATCATTGTAATAACCAATCCAGAGTATGTTTTGAATATTTGGGGCCTTGTGGTCTCAGGAAATTTTTCATTTCCATTTGTACAGATATTTTTGTTGAAGCAAAGAGCAGGGTGATGAATAAAAGACTTTAAAATAGAAAAGTACAAAGTAGGACAACATTCTTTGGGAGAAATAGAATAGAAACATAAATTCAAGAAGAAAAAGAAGCTATGCAGTGTTTCTACAAGGGAAAGAAGAGCTTGTTCATGTCTTTTTTAAGTGAAGGATGGTGGGTATCAAATCACTGTCGTATTTGGATTCCACTGAACACATTTAAAAGAATGAGGTAACCGTTTTATTTTAAGATGTAAATATTTACATTATTTTGGAAATTCTATTCCTTGCAACTATTTAAACTTGCTTTGAAAATGTTCAGATGTTGACTTTAAAATGTGCCAGGGAGTGGATAGTTTTTCAAAATTATTTTGTGGGTGCATAAGAAAAAACACTCCGAAGGCCACTGGGTTAGAGAAATAGAGTCCTGTCCAGTCCCCTGTGAAGGAGGCTCAGAGGCCTGTCCTCCCCTCCTCCCTGGGGCTCCTGCCCGATCTGGGGGCCTCCCCTGCAGAGTGTTTGTTTCCCTGGTGGCCAGCCCCGTCCCCGAAGTTATCTATCACCCAGTCTTCACATCAGTCCAGTGAGGCAGTTTCTGTTACTGGCTGCAATGAACAGATCAAACAAATGAGGCTTAGCAAGGTTAAAACTTCCCAAGGTCACACAGCTGGAAGCAGTAGAGCCGGGATTCAGACCCAGCAGCGTGACTCCTGAGACTGGGCTCTTAACTTCTACATTGCACTACCTCCCATTCAGCTTCTCCACGACACTGGCCCCCTCCCCTCCTATCGACTCCAATTCGAGTAGTTAAGCAAGTTGCTTATTGTTTGTGAGCCCTGGTTTCTGCATCTGTGAAATGGGTGATAATCCCATCTCACGGGGTGGTGGTCAGAAGAATGAGATGTGATGGGCAAAAGTGCCTAACAGTGTTCTCTACCTCCTTCACTAAGTGGGGGGCCGTCCTTCACTAGGGACCGGGGGCTGGAGCCTTCCTGAAGAGTTGGTTTCAAGATAAACATCAGGCCCCCCTCTGCCTTCCTGACCATTTAGCCAGCTTCTGAGCAGTTGCTGACCAGCAGAGACAGCTCTGGCGTGGTCTCTGAGCTGTCATCTCTCTCTTTCTCACTCACGTTCTCTTTCTTCCTCTCTCTCCACAGTTGGATCCACAAACTGTAGAAACTAAGAACTGGCACACAGATGTGATTGAAATGAACGGGGTGAGCCAGAAAGATGGGAAACGTCTGCGCAGTGGGTGGTCGACCAGCCTCTGGCTGGTGTCCCGAGGGTGCTGTCCTGCCTCTGTCCCATTAGCCCAGTCCTTCTCCTCTGCCTACACCCTTCTCACTCATACCCTGCAGGTGTTTCAGGGAACCCTGGGTGTTTACAGTCCTGGGGAGAGGGACGCTGGATTTTGGGGGGCACTCCTCAGGCACTCACATCATGCCTCACCCCCAAGCAGATCAAAGTGGAATTCTCCATGAAATTCACCAGCCGAGACATGAGCCTGAAGAGGACTCCATCCAAAAAGCAGACTGGCGTCTTCGGTGTGAAGATCAGTGTGGTGACTAAGTAGGTGCTGCCTCCATTGTCTGTGTGCTGGTGTTAGCACCGGGGTCCCTCCCAGCCCCTACCTTCCAGCCCTCCCTGCCCACGTCTGGCCCCCAGTCACTCACCCTCCAGGTCAATAGTCATGACGGCCAGTTTGGAGGCCAAAGGTGCCCAGCAGAGGTGTGCTCTGTCTCACACACTGCTTTAGGAATAAGAACCAACTTAAACATTGGGAGATTGCATGTGAAAATCCCAGGTCGTCTGCTTCCCTTGATAAGTGGGAAAATTGGACAGCTGTAGGCCCACATCTTGACTTGGCAGTGGCAGGCAGGCTGGACTCCAAGGAGTGGTTGCCCCTTGGGAAAGGGCAGGCATCCTCAGCTTATCACTGTCTTGTTTACCGGACCTGACCCACCTTCCTCGTGTAGGTTCCATAGCACTGGAATCTGAGACCTCTGTTCAAAGGACCATTCTTTCCTCAGTCTTGAGCTTATCTCCCAAAACTTCCTCCCGCCTGAGTCCCTTGCTGTCCCTCAGTGGACAGACAGGTCTTGGGTAGGCTGTGTAGGGTGGGGGTAGCATGGCCTCTTTCTCAGCCCTTTCTGTGCCCCCTGCCTCCTGATCCTAGAGGCTAGAGTCGTTCAAGGCCAAGGTATTCGGGGAGGGGACTACGTAGCTATCATTAGGAAGCCTCTCTGCACCCTCCTTCACATCCCCTCTCCACCAGGCGGGAGCGCTCCAAGGTGCCCTACATCGTCCGGCAGTGTGTGGAGGAGGTGGAGAAGAGGGGCATCGAGGAGGTCGGCATCTACCGGATATCAGGGGTGGCCACAGACATCCAGGCGCTGAAGGCCGTCTTTGATGCCAGTGAGTCTGGGAGGTCCGGCCCAGGTGGCAGTGGGGACACTACTCCGCAGGCTCATAGGACTGGCAGGAGGAGAACCCAGTAGGACTGGAAAGGCCTTCTCCAAGGAGAGGCCTCAACTAGCCGATGGCAGAGGAGCCTTGGTCTGTGAACTACAGTCCAGTGGCATGAGGTGGACCATTTCTGAATCCCCGTGGCAAGAGCTCTTCCTGAGTTTTCTCATGTAATTCCCCTTCTCCAGTCTCTTATCCATGGATACAGATAAGGAAACCAAGGCTCAGAGAAGCCAAGTCACTTGCCCAGGGTTACCCAGCTCGTAGATTTTGAGCCTGACTTAAACTAAGATCTTTCTGACTCCAGAGTCCAACTTCCTGGTCTTCTTGCTAGCTCCTGGGTACCTGGGGTGCGGCCAGGAAATGAAAGGCTCAGGCTCTGCTCTGCCATCTCCAAGGCCCCATGTGCCCTCTGGGAGGAGCATTGCTGCCTCTAGCTTTGACTACAAACTCCTCGGTGGTGTACCTGCCCTTCTGGCTCTTCTTTCCCCCATCTCACCAGTTCAGGCTGCAGCAGCAGCATAGCCAGTAGTCAGGAAACCAGACTGGCGGGCAGTGCTGATTCCATGGGAGCTGAGAGGGGGCCTGTGGATGTCCTTGGGCGGCTGCCAAGCAGGCATGTTCGGGAAGCCTGGGGTGGAGGGCTGGGGACATGATGGCCCATGGCTCCTCTGCACCATCTGGAAGCTGAGGCTTTGTTGGAACATGATTTTAGGTGTAAAAAATGTGCAGTACCTTCCAGAGAAGGGCAGTGGGAAGATTCCAGTTGGAAGGAGGGTGTGTGACACGTGGTACAAATGTGGCCCCAGAACTCTGGGTGACGACCTATGCTCTCCTCCTCCTCCCCCCATGGGGCTGAGTCATGGACCACCTGTGGGCACTACCTACATCCTTCCTTTCTGGGGGGGACCAGACCAGAGACACAGTGGATAGGGGCACCCCGGTAGGTGGACGATACATGGGGGATGGAACAGAGCCACCCAACCCACTGAGGGCTGCATGGGACAGAGGTGGCTCAGGCTGATGTGACCCCTGACCTCGCACCTCTTCTACAGATAACAAGGACATCCTGCTGATGCTGAGTGACATGGACATCAATGCCATCGCCGGCACCCTCAAGCTCTATTTCCGGGAGCTGCCCGAGCCCCTCCTCACAGACCGACTTTACCCTGCCTTCATGGAGGGCATTGGTGAGGCTCCTCGGACCTGAGAGCTGGGCTGACCCAGGCCTCCCGACCAGCAGATTAAAGAGCAACATAAGAGTCTGGCTTCCCTGGCTCGTTGATCTGCCCAATGCACTGGGGTGCATGGCTGAGTGGCCAGGAGGGTGAGGTGTGGCCTGCTGCGACCTGAGCCAGAGGCTGGACCTTCTCTCACCTACCTCTGTCTCCTCTTGTCCTATGGGCTGCCCTCTGTGCTTCCTCCTTGGACGCTGACTTCCTTGCTTAGAAACATGGGTGACCAGGGACATCTGCCATGAGGTGGGTGGGCAGGGGCCAGCACCCCAGAGCCAAGGAGAAGCCTGGTTAGAGCTGGTGTACAGTTGAAATGGCTGGCGCTGAGCCTTCCAGAAGGAATACTCTTTCATCTCTCACTTGTGCCATGGTGGAGAGGAAGCTAAGGCCCCTGGCCAGCAGGT